GTTTGTTTTATTCTTATTCTGTTTAAATGTTTCTCACCGGCATGGACGCACCCGCAATACAACTATACTAGGTTATGTGAAATAAACCGTGATGACGACTGCTGCCCGTAGTACCACATTCAAAGTTATAACTTCTATCAAGGTCCGACTCACACGGAATTCATTTGTTAAACTAACTATATTTTCGAAATAACTTTTTGCAAGGAATGCTGTCACGTGCTTGCATTTCGGTTTTCATGGGGTCTGAGTAACTAAACTCTATATTTTATTGAGCAAGACAAGAAAATGGCGGACTACGACACCTTAATTGACTTACATAGTAGCTGGGTAACCTCATCTAACTGGTTTTAAAACACAGAAAAGAAAACATAGTTTCTGCCTTTAATTTTTTTTCAAGTTTTGTATTATCGCCTGGAAAGCCAGTAATTAGTTAACTCGCGCCCTCTATATTTTCTAACCAAGTTTCGCGAAGCATCAATATCACCTCTGTTTACTAGATCCAGTACTGTACACTCCATTCTTGATCCCAATCAACTACTAGTAGGCGACAAAAGATAGCGATACGGGGACCACTATTTTTCTTGAATAAGTATTTAATAGGGCGTGGTTCCCATTATAGCGGAAGACTAGAGCATGCGAAAGTTCAGTGTAACGTGACCTATAAGTACAATGACCCGGCATGTAAGGTCTCGCTTCGCTTGTAATATTTTACGATCTTCTCACGCTTTCGGTTACATGATATAAATTCGTATATAGTCGGACTTTGATCGGTATATCGTAAAAAGTTACTACGTTGAAAATATTTGTTAAATAGCTATATTTTATCTCATAAAGCAATTAAATGGCTCGTTTGTGTTATTTATGTGTTCGTTACTTGACGTTGTATCAACACGCAAATAACTCAAAAGACCGTATCTCCACATTGCGCCCTCTGACGACGACGCAAATCTGTAAAGTAAATCGTGCATCAATAACACAATAATTGTTTATTTTAATAAAACAAGGATATTCTCAATAGAGACACAAACTGTTTAATACCACTTCCAATAGAGAAGAATAGACTGGTTAATGTCAAATCATAACAAATTAGCGAAGTCGTCGCGCCGCGTCCTGTTCGACATTGGACTCATGGCGACGTATACAACGCGTATAAAATACATTGTTTATTTACATGAAATTCGAACACGCGCTGCGCGACGACTACCGCCCTTTAAAGTTGCAGGCAATTAAACAACCATCACTCAGTTTTCCATGAACTGCTAACCATTGCGACTGAAATCAACAACACCTCACATTCTTCACCTTTATGTTTTTAAAATGTTGTTTTCAATCCATGAAGCTATTTAACATACTATCTAAACGTGTTACATTTTTTTCTAGGAAGGGTTCACGCTTTAGGGTCGTTGAGTACAGAAGAGGACACTTGAAATAAGACTCCGATTTGTTTACCGGGCGTATCGAGGCTATGCCAACACAGACACGGGGTCAATGTTCTCGTAACCAAACGCATTGTTTATAAGATTTATGTTGCAACTCAGACCACTTTATTGGTCTGAGGTTGCAACATTATTTGCGATCAAAAATAATGTTGTTTTTGTTACTATGGTAGTGTGCTTATCATTATTACATATCAGTATGGCATTTTAAACTTTGTCATTCCCTGTGTTCCGATCACCATTGATATTGCTGTTTAACGATGTACAGGTGAAGTCTTTGTAAAACTGACCCGAGTACGAATAGGGTTCACAGTGGTATTTTGGTTTATCATGGTGTTCGGTTTATAGAATTTGTTTACACAAGCACTTATATGGAGACGATGTTCAGTTTAGACAGATCTCTACACATATGAACGGTGTATTGAATCCGTGTTTATTTGAAATATCGATGGTATTACTCAGATCTACACTCAATGCGTATAATATCACACCATGGTTGCTTACTCTTACAGAGGAGATCGGAGTCAGTCCGCGGATATCCGACACTCCTGAAAAGAGAATGTCCGGGATGAATGTCCGACAGTAACGTTGCGAGTCCCATACAACATAACGCCATTACATCTACAGTCACGTGTTTGGTGGGAAGGTACATTTTTGCTCTAATTACATTGCTGAGTGAAATGCTTAACTAAGGTTAACTCGTATCCCGGAGCACAATTCATCTTCTGTGTACAATTCAAAAAAACATTGTGTGACCGGAAGGATATCTTTTGTTCAGAAAGAAAGCAACTACCAAAAGACAGCGTCTTGGCCTGGTAATGGAATCGCAAAACTATTAGGCGTGTTGCTATTAGGTACTTAGCAGAACAGAGGTCCGTCCTAACGTCAGTGGTAAGATAAACCGAGTTGCAACATTCGTATGTCTATGTAATTGTATTCCATTAGACTTTCGAGCTGATATAACGCCGAGTTGAGTTCGAAGACGTGCCATGCCTTTTATGGTAGCATTAACAAGGAATGCTTTCTGACAAAAATTGGAATTAGAAGATTTATTCACTATTTGGAGAGATTGTTTTCTAAAACGTATCAATTATTCACAATATTTGTACTGCATGCTTAAATATAACAGTTTATACGGCATACTAATTGAGATACTTGACATGATGTAGTTATTTGAAAAACCTAGGTCAGTTGTCAATGTATAATAAACGACACAGTTGCGCATGCACTCTGAATATTTGGTACGTACTATCAATTACACCTTTCTTATGGCGGGTGATAGAAGGTCGTTCAAAGATCAATAAAGAGTGTATTTTTTATAGAAGTTGTTTTTTTTTATTCTAGGAGACGGATGCCCACATAAGTCACGCTGACGTCATACAAGCGTTTCGACAATTATAGAAATGACGTATGCACTTTCCACAATTTAGCATTCCCCTTTTCAATGAACTATCAATAATGCAGATTGGTTGATGTTACTATGGAAATAAGTGTGGCATATAATATGTGTGCTTACAACAATATATATTTTTAAAGTTTGGCAATTCACTGGTAGTCCTATGTTTTGTGTTCATTTTTCCAGCGCACAAAAACCCCAAATCATGCTTGGCGACACAGATGAAATGATTGACCGCGCCGAAAACTAATAATCGTGGACGATTGATGATATTTAATTGCGAATAACAGTCAGTAAACACTGATGCGGAACGCCCTTTTCGTAGTAAATATCTTCAATGAAATTGAAGCATACTTTCAACACCTCCCCAGCAACAAACAAGATTCTAGCAGTCCCCAACGATTACTTTCTTTATAAAACATATTCGGCTTCGAAATAAAGTCGTTTGTTGGAAAAGTCACAGCTCGTTCAAAGGGCGGGCACCCGATACTGCAAATAAGCGTGTTTTGTCTTCACTGACTGGCACCCCGATTGAGATGTTCTATAGGTAGCTTGGAACGATGGTGGATATGCATGCCTACACTAAGGAGGTCGTGACCTTTCCATAGTGCGATACCGGGCAACAATTATAAGTCTTCAGCTTTATATTTACGCAACGTATTGACAACAAACACCCCCCCCCCCCCCGCCGATAAAAGTAATCCAATACAGTTTCAAGGTTCCCCACTTCTAACTGGGTATTACTTTTTGCCCGGGGACATTCAAACTCTACCAAGCTTGTTACTCGGCTGGATTAGACTGATTTGCAACTACAATAACTATGTGTGATCTATAATATGGTCAACATTTTGATATGCCATATACGTCACTTAATGCAAATCACAGTATGGGGACGTGCCGCTCTTTGGGGGCGTAATTTTTAGCTGTTTTTGCTTGCCTTTGGGTGTATTTACCCTAGTTTTAGTACTTTTATTGACGAGTCCGGGTGATGAGTAGATTCAACCAATAACTCAATCTGATCTGTGATGGAATATACAAAATCACTATTTGGTCTATAATGGGGTATGGTTTTTGAGATGAAAATAGTCTATGATGGGGTTTTGGGTTTTACTCCCCGGCCGCACACCCCTACCAAACTCTGAAAGGCCAGATGACCCCCTCCCCCGGTATACGTCACGGTCGACAGAGCAGACTTGGGTGAAATAAGTAACAGTCTGTAACCAAGTTTAAATGTCAGTGGTTGTCACGATGCGTTGGGCTCGATATGGGTCCTGTGCGACATATTCGGGGGTGTTAATATATTCTAGCTTAGTCTCAACTACCAATGCAAATATACAGTGCTCAGACGCGGAAAGCAGGTGAAATTCCTGCTGCGAAAGATTGATCTTCCCCCATTAACTTATCTTTTAAAAGTTCAGTGATGCGTTTGCAAGGATACAATATTCGTTTAATGTCGAATTCCCACGTTATATGATATGCAGAACTCCTCCCCTGATTAGTGTGATCACTATAATTATGAAATTATGATAAATTCAATTGGTTAAATTAGTAACAAATCCTGAAACTGTGTGATGTATGTTATAGTACCTAAATACCAAATTAAACAAAATTTCCATTGTTGTTTTGGAACTCGACTTCAGAATTCTGTCCGATAAAATTTCCCACGAACTGTACAACACCCACAGCCATAATGATGCTTAGCGGGGTCAGTGAGAGGTTTTCTGCAGATAATACTACTAAAAGTGGAAATGCAACTAATGACACGGAAGCATATCAAAAGAGTGACTTGAATTTCAATTGAGATATTGCATCCATCTTTGCTGTTTACTGTGGCACGAATGTAAAGGCGGCGAGGTAAGCAAAGAGTGGGCTAATTTGAGTGAGTTCGGTGTCGTGGTGATATTTATGTGTATCGTTAATTTTAATGGATTGTACACGAAGGAAACAAGTACATGTGTACGGGAGAGGGACGAGAATGAACGTCGCTGGCGTATTGCTATATGATTATCTGTTTCACAATAGGGGTATGTCATTTGTGCCTCTGAACAGTCTCTGGATTGCAGTGTAACATTTAATATATTTCATTGTAATTTGCGCGCATTCCCGGGTGATATGTTATTCTGCGGGTATTCTAACAGATTATGGGTACGCCTCCAATTATGATGGGTCTAATGTGGTGGGTACCCAGATGGTGTTGGGTAACTGGGTGGCATTGCAACTAGTGAAGGTTGCCCATGTTGCATTTGATGGATACTCCTAGGGTATGTTGTAAGTACGCCGGGTGCCTTGTTGTCATTGTAATTGGTGAATTGGGTGGCATTGTAAACAATGGTTGTTAAATGAGCAGAATTATAACCGGTGGTGGGTACCTGGGTGATGCTGTAACTTGTGATGATTACCTGGGTGGCATTGTAACCAGTGCTGGGTAACTGGGTGATGTTGTAACTTGTTATATGTACCTGGGTGGCATTGTAACTGGTGATGTGTAACTGGGTGATGTTGTAACTTGTGATGGATAACTGGGTGGTAATGGAACCAGTGATGGGTAACTGGGTGGTGATGTAACTTGTGATGGGTACCTGGGTGGCATTGAACCAGTGATGGGTAACTGGGTGATGTTGTAACTTGTGATGGATAACTT